TACATATATGAACTTGTAAAAATAAATATTGTGAGAAGCGTTAACATACACGATTCAGCTGATTACATGGCTTAGTATTTTCAAAATGACGATAATTTGAATAACTTATACAATAATTGCAGTATATTGAAAATTATTAAATGCACTTTTTAATTTTGATAATAAAGCTAAAATTGCAATTGTGTCTCCGAAAAATTCCAGGTAAAAATTTCTTTCATGAAAATGGCCATTAAAATCTTCTAAATATAAATTACACAACTTATAGTTAAATTTTTGTGTTTTTATATTTGTTTTTATATGTACAAATTATATATATATATATGTACAAATTATATATATATATATATATATATATATATATATATGTATGTATGTTTGTATATACATATGTATATCGGAAGAGAAACGCATCGTGTGATGTGTGATTACACACTCAAAGCGTATACGGGTATTCCTTGATGTAGTTTTTAATTAAGAGCGGTAAACAGTCAGTGGGCAATTTGCTTCGGTTCACGGCGAGCCTAGCCAGATGCGACAGCGATCTCACTTCCTTGACAAGAGGACTGGTCAGATAGATCTGGCTGTACAGTTGTCCGCTGTAGTCGACCCACACCTCCCTGCGATGCTCGTCCATCCTCTTCGAGTACTCGACGTAGTGCTCCAGCATTTTGATCGGACAATTGAAAAATGGCATCGCCAACGCTAACTTCGGCTCGGCGTCGAGCCGAAAGTGCTCGAGGAAATAGTGCACCCTAATAGAAGCGGGACCCCTCGCCGTTTTCACAGACACCGCGAAAGTGTATCTACTGTCCGAGCTGTCCCTCATCAGCCAGCGACCTATGGGCGCGTCCTTGAGAAGGTTCTCGCTCTGCTGCCAGCTGATACCCTCGTGGTACCAGCCGCAGATCTGCAGCAATCTCTTCACCTCGCGCAACCTATTCACGTCCGCGTCCAGGCTCTTGCTCCAGGAAGTCGACAGCCAGGACATCGGGGTGATCGACGCCTCGTTCTCCCTTTGCTCGACGTTACCGTGACTCTTGTC